ACATCCAAATTTTAAATGAGACTTTTTTAACATGTAGTTGAAGATTTATGCTTTTGTATGTCCCAAAAGTAAGGTATTCATTTATTTAGAGAGAGTTAGTAGTAAAATAAAAATGCAACCTGTTCCATAATATAAACAATTTTGAACGATGTTTGAAGCTTTTTCAAACCGCGTTCAGGCGTCTGTTCAGATTAGGATGCCTCGAATACGTTCGGAGTATCAGATATCTACAGCGTGCCGAGACGTTTAATAATAGGAACGCTTTCAGACGCTGTTGTAACCTTTTTCAAAACAGCGTTAAAACGTCTGTTGTAACCTTTTTCAAAACAGCGTTAAAACGTCTGTTGAAACCAAAACGCCTTAAAACGCATTCAATAATTCGAACGCGTTCAGAGTATCAAATATCTACAGCGTGCAGAGGCGTTTAATAATAGAAACGCTCTCAAACGCCCTTGTAACTTGTTTCAGAACAGCGTTCAAACGTCTAATAAAATCGAAACGCCTTAAAACGCGTTCAAAAAATTAAACGCGTTCAGAGTATTCAATTTCTTCGGCGTTTAAACGCCTTTAATAATCAAACGCCTTCAAACGCTTAACAAGAATGCATGAAATAAAACGTTCAAACGCTCTTCACACATTAGGGCGTTTAAACGCGTTCGACTCAAACGCAGATTTTTACAAAACGCGTTTAAACGTAGATTTAAACGCCCAAAACAGCGTTCAAACGCGTTTTTTCTCAAAATTTTCCAAAAACTAGCGTTCAAACGCGTTTTTTCGAACGCAAACGATTACATGGGTAACGCTATAAATTTAAAAACAAATTTTATATTCAACTTGGTGACTATTTTCAACGCCTAAAAAAGTACAAAAAAACAGCGCTGTCTAGAAAGTAAAATCGTTTCCACTACTTATATAAAATATCGGTGGATGATTTTGTGATCATGACTCTAATGCTGGTTATACGCATAAATCAGGGGAGATGGACAATGGGCATGTAGAGCAGAAGTTGAAAATTAAAATTGTACTCAATATCCAATACTATCATTCCCCAATAGTCATCGGGATAATCCTGTTTGTTATGAAATCAAATCAGTTTTTGATATTGTAGCATTTGTTGCTTCTTATACACCTTTCCATGTAAAACGAATGTTAAAGTAGTCCATGTGACTATCAATTTTTACTGAAGCGTTTTCGCGCCCAAATCGATCGTGTGCGTAAGAAAGTAACCAGCTACACATCACCAATTTTAAGAAACATAATTTAACTCATTGAAAAATAACTGAAGAACGCTTTATATATACATGAGGGAAGTCATTAGTTTATCCAGACATCTTAACAACAACCTTCACAGCATTCAGCACATTCGATTGCCTCGCAAACACAGCACAGCGACACAGTACGCGCAACAGCGACAGCTAAAAGTGAGAAGAGTCGTAAAGTACTTAATCGTATTCCAACCTAGAAGGTAAGATCAAGCACTTACATGTAAAGTAGATCGCCTCCACCACGAAGTGACTGTGACGGATTGTTATTAATTTCTTCAATTTTTGTATCATCTTGGACGATTCCGCATTTCGGTTCAAATGTGATGATATTCTTTTTACCTGGTTCAATTGTTTTGCTAACTGTAACAATTTCCATATAGGTGTGTGAATCCGCTCTCAATACTAACTTGCTCTCCTTTTCAAATAACGTTCGTGTATGTGTGTAGTTAAACTAAAACATCCTTTTAATAGACAAAGCCGATCATGCATATCTGCATAACATTAGCATTCTCCGTCCTCTGAAAGTCACGCAATTGGAATATATTCTGCCCGATTCTTCTATAAATATTGAGTCAGGACCACACGTGTTCGCCCACAGAAGAAAATCATGCTAAATGAAAGGGGGTTGGGTAATATCTACCTTGCGAAATTCTAATGATTGACAAATCAGTCAGCAAGCACTGTCTATATGTTATTCATTTTCGCAAGACATCGACTGAATTATGAAAAACTCACTGACAATTCGTTTAATAAATATCAGAGTACAACCAACGAGGGAAGTACCCCAACTGATAAATCGGTTTTATAACGGAACCTAGTGGACTGTACGTAGTCGACGATCCTGATTCTTCATATGTGTGCCTCAGTCCAACGAGGACTGTTTTTCGTAGACTCGACATGCTGTTCTTCACCGAGATAGTATTAAATGTAAGCTATAGCTTTGTGAATTAATTGCTTAAAACGACTGCAAAAATGTTTATTGAATGATAACGAGCTAATGAAAAGCTATGCAGGACTAGGAAAAATAGACATTATGCACTTTTAAGTTCGGTCAAAGAGTTCTACGTTTCTTGAGATTCCAATGAGAATAATAAAAGCTCCGAAAATGTACGTTATATGCTATAAAAAAGACATATGACTTCTGTAGTTTGGCGACGGCTTATTAATGGAGGCGGCAATTCTATGCCATGTTACGGTAACATCGGCAACGTTTGTCATCTGCGAAATGAAAGATACCAATTCTATAAATATTCTGCGAAGTATTGGCTGCAGATCGTTTTTATCTACCCTTATATGCAAAAGGTCGTAAGATACTTCTCAGACACTAGGAGCGATTCTCAAATGACATTTGCGCTAAAATGATATTTGGAATCTGTAACAGAAGTCATAGTCAAACATTTTTTGTTTATATTTAATGTCTTTGTATATTGTCCGGTATGAGCATATTAATCGCTCAGTCTACTATAAAGTGAAATAATTATACTGTTATTTGCTGGGTAAAACTTTGTTGCAGTTTCTAATGTAACTTTCAAATGATTCTTTAATCCACTACGATCACAATAAATACTGCCAATATCTTTATAAGCATTAACTAAACGAATACTATGTCATGGTAAACTTTTTCCTTTAATATCCACTGTTTTTTGTACATTTTTTAATGCTTCATCATAATCGCCATGGTGGTGGTAGTATAGTCGAGCGAATGCTACTTGGAAGCAGTCTCTTCCTTATTTCCGGGGTTATGATAAATTATTTATGAAGCAGTCTATATAAGAAACGCCGAAAAAGTCAAAAAACTTTGATTCTTTTTCAGATTACACTTTCTCTTTCAGCTTATAGAGACTCGTCGAAGTTTGCACTTCGACTTGAGTCAAGTTTTTTCTCGTCCGGAAATTTCGATTTTTTATCACTGATCTGTATGATCAATTAAACACACTACATGAGGAACTACTCGATTCGATAGTACGCGAAGACGGTGATAATCTAACTATGGGTTTTACGGTCTACCGTGAACAGAGCATGAGTATACGCGAATTCGAACGGTCATATTTCAATGAATACATTTTTATCCACTACATTTCAAAAAGACATTGCTCTGCTTTATGCTGGCAATGGCTTACGTCGTCCTGAATATGAATCGGTTCTGTTTGAACTGATACTGTTTACAGATATAAAAGTTCGACCATTTTCAGCTACTCAACGACGCAGTTATTTCATTGACGAAGATGAGCTGTTATGTGCAATAGCAGCCATTTTTCGAATTGATTCTGTTGAAGAAATGTCAAATGGTGTTTCGTGTGTTAAAATGACATTGATAAAAGAAGAAGATAAACAAGTGTTATATCTGATGGAACATTTTCAACTATCAGTCGGACAAACACCGAGCATCCTGACATTCGGACAGGTTTTAATTCGTATCGGTCATATTGCCAAAGCCGAACGGTACTTTAATATACTACTTAAACAGGTATCACCGACTGATCCCATCCCGGATTGATATATAGTGGACTTGGTGATTTACACCCGGAGAAAGATGAACATGAGAAAACATGAGAAAGCATTGTATATGAAAAATCTTTGGAAGCCGACAGGACTAAGTTACCACGAGAACGAACTAATTTTGCAAACATATATAATTCAATCGGAAACGTGTACCGTTGTAAGGAAGAATACGAAACAGAACTAACATATCATAAAAAAGCATTAGAAAGTTTAACACTTTATCCGTCAAACCTGTTTACGTAGTATATTAAAGTACTGTTCGGCTTTGGCAATATGACCCATACGAATTAAAACTGTCCGGGAAGTTAATGCCATTCTATCAGAGCCTATTTAAAAAGTTTTAGATAATGACAGAAAGCTAGATATTATTTCGACTATTCGCAGGAGATGAGTACCTATCGCTCCTGTACTGTAAACATACATCTCGATGCTGAATAGAAAGGCAAATTTGTTAACCGATCAATAACGGCTGACAAGACAAGGACTATCACTAAGAGAAAATTTCGAAGAATAAAATTCTGTTATGCACAGTTTTAATTAGACGTGCTAAAGTCTTCAGTAGTAAAATTAATATTGAGAATCGCTCCTAGTATCTGAGAAGTATCTTACGACCTTTTGCATATAAGGGTAGATAAAAACGATCTGCAGCCAATACTTCGCAGAATATTTATAGAATTGGTATCTTTCATTTCGCAGATGACAAACGTTGCCGATGTTACCGTAACATGGCATAGAATTGCCGCCTCCATTAATAAGCCGTCGCCAAACTACAGAAGTCATATGTCTTTTTTATAGCATATAACGTACATTTTCGGAGCTTTTATTATTCTCATTGGAATCTCAAGAAACGTAGAACTCTTTGACCGAACTTAAAAGTGCATAATGTCTATTTTTCCTAGTCCTGCATAGCTTTTCATTAGCTCGTTATCATTCAATAAACATTTTTGCAGTCGTTTTAAGCAATTAATTCACAAAGCTATAGCTTACATTTAATACTATCTCGGTGAAGAACAGCACGTCGAGTCTACGAAAAACAGTCCTTATTGGACTGAGGCACACATATCATGCCGATTCACAGTTTCATCGTTAGAGTAAATTGTGCATGATCTAGACATATATGAACACTTGTCTCACAACAAGCTGAATCGCAACAAACTCAAACACAAGCATAAAAAAGAACTCGACAGTCATTTAGAGTAATGAACAAGAAAGAGATATTTTGGCATTATGTCAACAAAAGTACTGCGATGATTATGATAAATATACCCAGACAAACTTTTTCTGCTACAAAAACGCATCAATGTCCGTTAATCTTTAGCGCGTTTCGCCGTATCAATTTTGGCCGAACAGATGCGTCGAAATGTGTTTGAAATTGATGCGTTTAAACGCTTTAAAAATTTAAATTTAAAAAGAATTAAGTTTTTAAATGCAGGATTGGTCTGACATTTTTTTAGAGGATCCACATGCTCACTCAAAGACTTTCCAGTGCTCTCAAGACTGTTTATAACATGTGAAGAATGAAAGAAACCAAATATCACTTACATGGTTTGAGTGTGATTCGAACGTGGTGCCTAGAATTAAGAAGCAAACACACAACCGTCTGAGCTACAGACGCCTGGAGTATGAACCGCATCGCAACAGTGTAATTCGTTCATTTCTAATCAGCCTAAAAGCGATGGCGTTTGCTTCTTAATCTATTAGACCGCACATTTTGATAAGTTTAAAGCCTTTTTCATGAAGTTTGTCATGAGCGACACACAACGTTTGTTTGTTCATTTATTCACTTCTCATCCATAGTTATTAAAAAAGAGAAGAAAGCAGGTTGAGTTCGTTTATTTACCAAAGATCTGTTAGAAATTTGCCTTAATTGTCTTCGTTTATTTGTGTTTTAGGAGGTAAAAGGGCAGAAAAGCAGAAGAACAGAAATCTCAGTCTTTGTGCGAAACTTGTTTTACCTTCACCATAGCCTCAATGTTTCTAATGATAAGTGTACTAAACGGAAGTAAAGTGCACGAGCACTCTGAATTGTTGAAATGCACTTTCTTAGAAACAACAATGTGCACCAGTGCATTTTGATTCAAAATCCTATTAGCAATGCTGCATAGCCTACGTCCGCTACGCATTCGGAAGTTGTATTCAGTATTTTCCCTTTGAGAATAACCGTATCTTGAAATATTGAAACGCGTCATTTCTCAAGATACCTCAGTAGTACTTGGATATGGGTGGGGAATGAAGGTATATATAAGCTGACTTCTATTTGAACTCAAGTTATATTACACAATTTCATCTAAAATTAAATTCTCTCTCGATTAACATATAAATCGACCATAGCTCATATATCCACTTTGATAAAACTTAAAAACACAGACCTCTCCTTATCTACTCTCCTAAGGATCATAGATGTGCCCACCTAGTGCGATACCAAAATAGGATGAAAGTCATATTAGCCAAGCTGAAACTTACAGGAATGACTGCGATTATTGATCTCTATAGTTGGTGAAAATTTCACATCAAACGGGTTGTGTATAGTCCCAGTATAATCGTAGAAATAATTGTAGTCAACACTTGCCACCAGGTAGCTCATTATCGCCTATGCTATTTATTATATTTCATTGCGATCTACCGAATAAATTAGGAGCACATTCAAATTATTTATTCGCAGATAACTTATCAGTGGTTATCACCCCACCTTTTAGACCAAAAGTCAGTGAAATGTTGAAATTTTTAGAAGAAGAAGGAAATAGAGTTTGAGAAAGAATTGTAAATCACGCAGTCATGCATGCGCAACCAGTTAACTACAATAAAACAGTTTTTCGGATCTTCCATAAGCAAGTGGAAGTGGTGTCTCTTGAGCAAGTAAAGTGGTTTAAATACTTGGGTTCATATGGACCGAGAAGTGGTCTCTGCGGCTTTCCGTGGACGACACGATCAAAAAAATCAAAAAATCTTATGGTAAACTGAAGTGGTTGTCTAAGTCAAGAGAAGTCTCGATTAAATTGAACAGAAAATATTTCTTTGCGTATTCATTTCCTTTCTTCTCCTGGCTCTTCCCGGTTTACCCATTTTTACCTAAAACTCATCTAGCATCGCTAAATCGTAAATTTCGGGTCAGTATGAGACTAGTTTACCGTTACTCTTTTGCGATATGTCTATAGAGAGACACGTTAAAATCCAAATCTTGTCGCGCTAAAGCCCTAAATATGTAATGGCTAACGAACAATACATTAAAGTTGGAAATGTTCCACCTCAACCTTCTAAAACTATGGTGTCTATATAACATCGCATTAAAACCAATTTTGCCTTTGTCAACTCCCTAAAATTACGATGTTTATACGATAGGGTATAAAATTTGATTTTTTCTGCGTCAGATTACAGTTGACTATTAACAGCTCAATGGTATTAAGTATTTCACTGCTGCCCACTGGTGAATCTGTTATTCAGTTTGTTGATTTGATTTTAAACAACTGAGATGAATATCATACGGTAAACAAGAATCAACTGGTTTTGAATTATATTTGACAGATGAAAAATGAATAGTTATTGAAGTCGAAACATGGTCATTATGTGCTAGATTTAACTTTAGGAGCCGTTGTACGGCATCCTAGACAAAATCCTATGCACTTCGTGTGTATCTGTTTCCTACCAGGATCCTAAAAAGTTAGGATCCTCTTATGATCGGTGTAGGATCCTAATAATTTCCTGACAGTATCTGAGAAGTCCGGCTCCAAGCAAGAATCTGGAGCAGATCCTAACGTTTAGGATTCTGTCAGGATTTTGTTTGTTAATGAAGAAGGATAGTTAATCTGAGGTTGAAGTAATAAATGTATACGGTTGTAGGTTACGCCATTGATGGCCTATTTTTAACCTAAGCGAAAAAAACCGATTTTGAACGACCACATTAAAACAGCCAACACTTTGAGTAATAAAGCATAGTCCGAGTGGAATTTTATCGATTGAGAATGAAGTTCAGACTGAGATTCTCTAGTTTAAACTGAAAAATAGCACAATCAAAAAAGGAAGTACCCAGGTCAACGAATCCAGTCTGAGGAGCCAGCGCGATCCGATAGGATCCGGTCGAATATCACACGTTCTTGTAAAATCCAGGCTGGATCCTGGCCGGATTTGACAGGAATCCTTGTTGTGAAATCCTCATGGATTTGACAGGTTTAGGATCCTTCAGGATCCTGACGTCGAAAATCGCTGGATAATTCCAGATCCGATCAAAGGAAATGATAGGATTCGCCAGGATATCGATAGAATAGGCTAGTTGTTGCTGTCGGACCACTTGCCATCTCTTTCCTTATCACAGATTCGACTCTGTTGTTAGTTTCTTGATTATAATTTGTAGTTATCTTTCTTTATTTATAAAAAACAAATTACAAGACAGCTATTTTTTTCTAAATGTGTCTGAAAAAGATAATATTAAGAAAAAACCAATCCCTTTGGTTTATTTAAAAAAGTATAAAAATATATATATATACATTAATGTATATCAGAATAAAAAAAGGAACTAAAATTTTCAAGAAAACTGTGCACCAGTACACAATATTTATATGTTTTTCGTGTATAAAAAAATAAAAAAAGATCGATTTTTGACTATGCGAGTAAAAAACAATGAAAAATAAGAAAGATAACGTAATGCGATATTATGATGAAAAAATACCTGAATATATCTGTAAAAAAAATAAAGCCATATAAAAAATTAAAGAGAGAAAAATACTATTTAATCGTATTTTTCTGCAGGTGTTAAACGGAAAAAAATAAAAGATAATCTGTGTTTGGTGTTTATATTGTATTTATTTGATTATTGTTTCTGACGACTGCTTGTTTATTCAATCTTTAAATTTTTTTTTCGTCGTCGTTTTTTTCGTCATTTTCGTCAAATGTTTTTGAGTTTCATCTCTATGCGACCAAGTTGTGGGTGTATATTACGAATATGATATTTATTTTGGATAAAAATACTTTCGAAACGAAAACGCTAGTGATTAACGACTT